ATATGATTGCATATATATATATATATATATTTTAGATCAGAAAGAAAATTTTTATTATAAAATCAATAAAAAATTGAATCAATTTCGTACGGCCATAACAAGACATCTTGTTGATTTTATTCTTTAATAAGTTGTCTTATTTTTTAAAATTTTAGTGAAGGTTCAAACCGATTTGTACATTAATGGAGCGAACTCATCAACTCAAGTTATTGGTGTTGTTGAGTTATCGAGCTAGTTGTTTTTTTGTGTCAAATTTTAAAATATCATGACTTTCATTTGTACACTTGTTTTTAAGTAAATTTATATTTTTGGAATTTATTCATCGATATCTTTTAAACACCATCATTATTGGATATAAAATTATATAAAAGAATTTAGGAAATTTTGTAGTCACTGAAGCAAATTTCTCAAATTTTGAAACTGTGAAATTTCAAAAATTTTGTATTTAAGTAATTGCATTTTTTGCAATTATGTTCAGAGAAAATAAATTTTTTATTTTATACATAAATTAAATTTTTATGAATACTCATAAATTTCTCAGCTTTCTAAAAGCTGCTAAATTTATCATTATTCGTGTTTGAGAATTTGTGAAATTTTATGATTTTTGTATATAAACATGAAATTTTGTGTAAATGATAAAAACTTATTTCTTTATTTTTTTGGTTGTATTTTTCTACAATGATTTTTTTTCCCCACTTCAAAATTTTTTATTGAATATAGTCTTAATAGATGTCCTTGAATAGGCTCAAAAATATAAATATCATGAAAACTGGATCTATAAGATGAATATATATATGTTTAAATTTTTGAAATAAAAAAATTTAACCATCTAGCACGTGATTCTATTTGGTTGTGCACATTTTATCTTTCAACAAGATAATAATATTTTTATAAAAGGGTGAGGTGTGAGATTTAATGGATCAAGAAATATACTTTTACAATATGAGACTTGAAGAAAAATCCACCACAAATAAAATGGGACTTTTTACTATATATTAAAATTCTTAAGAGAATAAATTATAAAGATTTTTTAAAATTTTTTTTCAGATTTGAAATTATAAAAACTGTTGAAAAAAAAAGAAAAGAGGAGAGATCATAAAAACAAACTTTGGGAGGACACATGAACTCTATAGAATGGACAAATTAGAAGTAGATTGTAAAGTACAATTAAAAATTTCAAAAAGTTGAGGGCAGCTGGACATCATTTGAGATCATATCTAATGATTACTTAAATTTGTCATTAAATTTAATTTTGGTTTCTTATATGTGCTCCAACAGTTTTATCAAGGGGAAAAAGACTAACACCCCAGTGGGGTGACTCCCATCACGTCCACTGTTTTTTAAAAATTATTTTATTTTATTTTATTTTTTAACTCTTGGTCTCACAACCCCCACGTGGAGGTGGAGGTGGAAGTGGAGGTAGAGGTGATGGGGTCACTCCTACTGGGGGTCTTAATACTGCCGTTTATCAAGATATTAAATTAAAAATTTCGCTTTTCTTTCATCAAATTGAGAACTAATGTGTCTTTCATCAAATTACTGTTCACAACCGTTGTTGAATGTCCCTCGAATGATCACCTGAAAACAAAAATTTGTGAAAAAATTACATTGGCTGGTCGACTGCCTCAAGACAGCCGGTCAACCGGCCAGTCATTCACCTGGTCGTCCGATGTTCTGATGAAGCTCCAAAATCTTTCGTTGGAGTACTTGATATTAAAGGAAACTTTTACTCAAATTTAATAAAAAAATTGATATACCGTTAAAGATGCTCTAATTAAAACGATTAACAAACATTAAAAAAAGGGAGTAATATTATAAGTTTAAACTTTTTATTTAAAAATTTATTAAAAATATCAATATATAATTTAAATTCATTAATGTATGAATCTCACAACGCACTAATTCATCCTCATTCACATTTTAAATTTCTAAACTAGTTTTGGTCCTCTTTTCGGTACAATAGATTTATTGAAAAAATAACGAACAAGAAGTGAATGCTGCAGGTGGTAGGAAAATATTAAAAAACATGCTTGTCACGGAGGAATAACTTTTAGATTTTATTTTTATTTTGTTTTCTCTACTTGAGAAATCATCCACCAAATATTCTTAAAGCTGAGTGTTTAGTTTTAGTTTTCTAAATTCAGTTTTTTAAAAATTAAATTTTTTTATTTTTTGTATTTTTTTGTATTTTTAGTGAATATTTTTTAAATTTTAAGTATTTTTTTTAAACTTTTTTAGATTCACCTTACTCAGATGTATCTAAAAAGTAAAAAAAACTGTATTCAAATAGTAAAATATTTGTAAAAAAATATTTTAAAAAATTAATAAATACACAAAAATATAAAAAATGTACTAAATTTTTATATTTTTTGTTATATTTTTGGTATTTAGTGAATTTTTTAAAGATTTTATTACAAATATTATACTTTTTAAATGTATATATGTTAAGTGTATCTAAAAATTAAAAAAATTACTTAAAATATTAAAAACATTCATTGAAAACAAAAAAAATATGAAAAATAAAAAATAAATTTTTCTGAAAATTATTTTCTAAAAATCAAAATCAAACAAGCTGATAATCCAATCCAATAAAAAAAAAAAAAAAAAATTTGACTCCAGCATGATAACTTGCAACTAGTGGTGTGGCAAAGTGACCACATTTATATGTATCAGGATCCTCTGAATTGTTGGCCCTGAAGTGATTCCTGAAGTGTGTGGATCCAATGGCTGAGAATGTAACTAACCAAAACGACGTCGTTTTGGTTAGTAATTTCAAAAAAATAAAATAAAAATAGAGTTGATTCAAAATTCCCAAATCATTCCCTCCAGTAAGCAAAGCTGTGTGGCGGGAATGCAAAAAAGAGAGAAGAAGACAGAGAGAGAAGAGAGGCGGGAGTGTCGTCCAGCCATTGCCACCGTCGCCGCCGTCCAGTCGCCACCGCCGTCGTCCAGTCGTCGCCGCCGTCGCTGAGGTGTGGGAACATTTCATTCATCCGTTTTAACATTGTACAAATCTATACATATATACCCCAATCTCTGCACAATCCCTAGAATTTTTTCAACTCAAATTTTTATGTATATGTATTGTTTAAAGTGTCCATTTTTCACAAATTCCACCGTTTAACTAAATGAATGATGATTGAGATTTAAGGTTCTTATAAAGTGAAATGTGTGTTTACATGAAAACAAAAATATGCTGCACCTGTATCTCAGTCAGAATGACGGAGAATGGAAAGGTAAAAGCAATGTCCCCCGAGTGCTTGAGCCACTAACCATATTTTTTTAGTAGTAGTAGAAGCTGGTACACCTCCAATGCTACCCTTTATGTTTCCATCTCCTGCAATTTTACATTCTTGAGCATCTTGGTTTGATTTCATTTTCAGAAACTGTTTTCTGAAAAATACTAAAAAACTAGTTTGCTGAAAATAAACACTAGAAAGATATCTTTGAATTTTCAATAACTATTTATGCACACAACCCCTAAAAAAAATTATGAGTATTTTCTATTTTTTCATTACCAAATTAGTTTTTCCTGTTTTCAGAAAACAAATTCTGAAAACGAAACCCAAGAGAGCAGTTATCCAGAATTTTCTTTTCCACCGTTTTGGAGGTTGAGATGGAACTGTTTAAGGAAGTTCACGAAATCTGTGAGGAGGGAGAAAAGCAGAGTTGTTAGAAGGATTGTGATTGTCAAATGGAAAGAATTCTGGCAGTGATTGAGACATAGTTAGCAAAGAGGTCTGAAAAAGAAAACCATTTCAAGAAATGGAACAGTAAGTCCTCCATGAAATCTTCTTTTTCTAGTCCTTTCTGAAAGAAGAAATGGAGGTATTTCTGAAAGAAAAAGGCTTGGGGTATTTCAGCAACCATGCCAACTACAATGACATGATGATGAGTGTTTTTAAAATTTTCATTATTTTTTCACCAAATTAGTTTTTAGTGTTTTAAAAAAATAGATTATGAAAACGAAACCAAATTAGTTTTTAAAATTTTCATCATTTTTTGAGTTGATCATGGTTGTCATGAATTCAGTATATGTATTGTTTAAATATAAGTTCATAACCCTTCTATGCTTTTTGCACATCATTTATAGGCTGTGCTTTTGGGCAAACCTTATTTATTTTTTTATTTTCTTATTAGAAATTTATATATTATCTCGATCAATATTGTGCAATTGTAGGTTATAGCCATTTGGTTGATTTTCTTACCCCTTTCTTTTTTGTTTGCTGTGGAGGTGTGGAAAATTATGGGAATTTTGTTTAATAGAGATGGTTAAAAATAAATGAAAACAAAAAATCAGCTTTAATTGACCTTAGATTAAAAATTATCATCATGGCTTATTGTTATGGTTATCACTTTAGCTGATAAGTGATGTTTGTTTTTTAAACATTTGGTGCAGTCAAAGATAATGTATATAAATAGAAGTATCTTACATTTCATTCATCCATTTATTTTGTTTGTTTTTGTTGTTTAATTTTAATTTTGATTTCGTATGTTAACATGTTGATTATAAGAAAATTAAGGAATTTGTGTTCAATCTGGATCATTTAAAACATAATTTAACATTGAAGACCATCTTTGTGCCCCTTTGTTTATATAATCTAATATGATTCAATTCTTGTAGTGTTTTTATTTAGTTCGTATTATTTTGCAAACATAATTTGCAGTTTTTATGCTAATATTGAGCACTTTTTTATATTTTTTTAAGTGACTTGGCACAGTGATATGGAACCTAACAATGTTGAGAATGACGAGGGTGATTGTGATTGGAAGCCTAGAGTTCGCATGACATTTGATATAGAACAAGAAGCATATAATTTCTATAATGCTTATGGAGGAAGGACAAGCGAGATCCATTAACAAAAAATCCTAGGCAGGAAGTGAGGTCTGGTTGTCAAGCCCGACTTGTCATTAAGTGGGATAGGAATATTCAGAAATTTTTTGTTAGTGATTTTCTTGAACAACATAATCATATTTTTGTACCAACAGAATGTACGCATATGTTACCATCCCAAAGGAAGATATCTGCATCACAGGCAATCGAAATAGACTTAGCTGAAAAATCTGGAATCCGGCTTAATGCTGCATTTGAGCTCATGGGTAATGAAGCTGGTGGAGGGGAGTCGCTTGGGTTCATAAAAGTGGACCAAAAAAATTATTTGAGAACGAAGAGGCAAAACAGTTTAGCATATGGGGAGGCAGGTAGCATTTTGCAATATTTTCGTGAGAAGACATTGGAGAATCCATCTTTTTTTTACTCGGTCCAGTTAGATAGTGAGGAGCAGATTACAAACATATTTTGGGCCGATGCTCAGATGATCATGGATTATGGGCAATTTGGTGATGTTGTGACTTTCGACACTACTTACAAGTTAAATAGTGCACATAGACCATTTGCGTCTTTCGTTGGATTTAACCATCATAAGGAAACTGTTATATTTGGCGCAACTTTGATGTATGATGAGACTGCTGATTCTTTTATATGGCTTCTTAGAAGATTCTTGGAGGCAATGTCAAGTAAGGCTCCAAAAACAATTTTTACGGATCAGGATGCTGCAATGGCTAAGGCCATACCTATTGTCATGCCTAACACAAAACACCGCCTTTGCACTTGGCATTTGATGCAAAATGCATTAAGGCATGCAAATTCTATCTTCAAGGATAAGGAGGTGAGGGATAAGGAGATGAAGAGCGTTTTATCCAAATTTATGTACGACATTGAGGATGAGGATGATTTTACGTTAAAATGGGAGGAAATGCTTGACAAGTATGAAGTGCGAGATAATCATTGGTTGAAGTTAACATTTGGGGTCAAGGAAAAATGGGGTTGGCCATTTGTTAGAAATACATGGGGTGCGGGTATGAGTAGCACCCAACTTAGTGAATCCTTTAATGCATTCTTGAAGGATTTCATTCAGTCTGATCATAACTTAATGCAATTTTTCATGCATTTTGATCGAGTTCTTTGTGAGAAGAGGTACAAAGAGTTATAAGCCGAATATACTCTATGCCAAAAGTTGCTGAGGGTGACTATTAAATTGAAGATTATGGAGCAAGCTGCAGATGTTTACACAAATAAAATTTATGAAGAATTTCAAGATGAGTATGTCAAGTCCCTTGAAGTAAACATTGAAGAAACTGAAAGTTGTGGTGAGAGTACCATTTATACGGTTCTTGATAGTGATGGTGTAAAGGTGAGGAAGGTAACAGTGGAGTGTGATGGTTCACTCACTTGCAATTGTAGGAAGTTTGAAATGAAAGGCATTTTGTGTAGTCATTGTTTGAAGATCCTTAGAGAAACCCTCAAATTCAAAGAGATTCTTTCCCAATATATTCTCAAGAGATGGACTAAAAAAACAAGAGCTGAAAATGTGAAAGATAGGTGTGGGCATGATATTAAGGTTGATGTAAGATTGCATCAAACTTCACGCTTTAGATCATTGATGGCAATTTTCAGAGCAGTAGCGTGTAGAGCTTCGAAAGTGAGGAAACATATAACTTGACGGTAGAGAAAGCGGATGACTTAATTGCAAACATTGAAAGCATGTTAAGCACAAAATTCAATATGCCTTTTCCAGATACTATTGAACAAGAAAGCCCTCTTGACACATGCCTCGAAAGCTTTGAAGTGGATGGTGTAGTGGATACAAATGTAGTTCAAGCAAAAGGACTCAAACGAAGAGAGTGCACTAGCAAGGGACGAAGGCGGACAAAAGGTGGTTTGGAGCTTGCATTGGCAAAGAAAAATAAAACAAGTTCATATAATGCTTCTCAAACTCCAATGTCTATTGCTCCTCAACCTAGTTCACATAATGCTTCTCAAACTCCTATGTCTGTTGCTTCTCAACCTCCTCCCTTATTTTCGGCGAGTGCTCCTGAACCATCTCCCTTGTTTTCACCGAGTATTCCTCAATCAGCTCCTTTATTTTCAATAAGTGCTCCTCAACTTCCTCCATTCTCGACGTGTGTTCCTCAACATAATGCTTCGTCTACTCAATTTATGTATCCCGCCTATGATGTACGTTAGTTTAATAAGAAGTTTTATTATGACTTATTTGTAAATATTTTGTACCATTTTAAATTGATATGTGTTTGTTATTGTTGCAGCCAAGTATTCCATTCTCGACGTGTGTTCCTCAAGTGAATCATTTTTCAATGCCATCGATGTATTCCGTCCATGGAAGCTATCAAGCCTTGCTTAGCAATGCAAGCAGTTATGACTCGCAAGCCTTGAATAGTCCTGCATATAGTCAAGTAATTTATTTTTCACCTTTCCTCTTTTATTTTGTCATTCATTCATTTAAAGTTCCATTTTATTTTATGGTTCCTTATACATATTTGTTTTCTTTTCTAGGTACTATATGGGCATGGGCGTGGCCAAGGGCATGGGAATGTGGATCACACGTCAATATCGTAGCGTTGAATTTTTTTGTTGGATATGTAATATTGAACACTTTTCATGAGAAATTTGTGAAATTTGTAAACTTTTTTGTTGGATATGTAATATTGAAGACTTGGCAGATTGTATTGAAATTTGAATGTCGAAATGACCTTGAACTTTTTTTTATGTGAATGTTGATATGTTGCTGAAATATGTGCTGAAATGGTGCTGAAATTTGTGTTGATATGTTGCTGAAATTTAGTTGAAATGGTGCTGAAATTTGTGCTCATACGTTGCTGAAATTTGTGCTGCTATGTTTGTGAAACTTGTGCTGATATGTTGCTGAAATGGTGCTTAAATTTGTGCTGATATGTTGCTGAAATTTGGCTGAAATGGTGCTCAAATTTGTGTAAATATGTTGCTGAAATTTGTGTACATATGTTGCTGAAATGGTGCTCAAAGTTGGCTGATATGTTGCTGAAATTTGTGTAAATATGTTGCTGAAATATGTGCTGAAATGGTGCTGAAATTTGTGTTGATATGTTCTGAAATTTGTGTAAATATGTTGCTGAAATATGTGCTGAAATGGTGCTCAAAGTTGGCTGATATGTGCTGAAATGGTACTCAAAGTTGGCTGATATATTGCTGAAATTTGTGTAAATATGAAATGAAAAACATATCATGGGAATCTCATTCTAGTTTGATATCAGCAAAAAATAAGTTTATTTGGGCTGATATGTGTTGATATGTAAAGCAAATAAACCAAATCTGTGCTGATATGTTGCTCAATCAAATATGTGCTGATATGTTGCTCAATCATTATAACCCTTCAATTTGAATAAAACATTATTCCATTTGAATTTCCTAAAATCTGAAAATACATGTTTGGTCATAACAATGGTCTGAAATTGAGTGGGACACAAATCTGAGCATCACATAAGGATATAGATCATTGGAGTGTCCTGATTTACATCAAAGTAAACAAATGGCAACAGTCCATGGAAGTCTATATATGTATACATGGACCATTGTCCTTCATATCTTCAATAACAACATAAACTAGAAGCACAACAAAACAGTAACATACCAAACCAACAATCCAAACAAACAAAAGAAGTCAACAACCAACTTCATTTACACATAATATTTAGTTCACAAAAGGCGAAGTTCAAATCCGAATTTAAATTACACTTAATTTTTAAACAACAAAAGAAGTCCAAATCCAAATAACATTATTACAATGGCGTAGTGCAACTTTTTCTGACGTTGTCTAATCTCTACGACCATTTGTTTACTTTCTTTCGTAAGCTTTGTAACTATCTCTTTCAGCTCATCATTGGATACAATCACTTCGTTGACCAAAGGGTTGATATTACAATTGTCGTCGCTTTCCTCCCTTATCATCTTCAACCATTGACGCTGCTTGTGTACAGGCATCCACCACTGAAAGAAGCCGCATCCATTGGTGTTGTTTGAAGGGCAAGCAAAGTATACCATCCC